TTCACCCTCTGCGAATTTCGAACGAAGATCATGCAGGTGGCTCTTCTCCTCTTCGAGTTGTGCGGTAATCGAGGCTGCCTTTGCCTTTTCTGCATCTAGATCTTCTCGGACCAAAGCAATTGCCTTCTCATGCTCAGCCACCTTGGTGTTGAAGTTGTTTTCTTGTTCCTCAATCCTGGCATGAGCGTTCTCGTTGTCGGATTTTGCCACTGCCACGGCCTGCTGGAGCTCCTTCTGGTAGTTCAGTGACCGCACAGCCACATCCTCGAGCTGTGCAATAAGTGCCGAGTGATCGTCAGGTACACTTGTGCCAGGCGAGAGATGGTTGAACACTGTAGCTAGCGAGTCGCGTTCTTGTGCCCTGGCAGCTTTGAGCTTGATGATTTCAGCCTGCAGTGCTTCAGTCTCCTCATCTATGCGAGTCTTTTGCTCAGCCGCTTCCTTGCGCGTCTGCTCTAGCTCAGCAGCGAGTTCTTGTACTCTGGTATCGACACCGATTCGCTCATTGTCGCGACTACCGAGAATGCGATCCAACTCGTCTTCAGCCTCCTCAATCCTAGCCTTGTAGACTCGAATCTCATCTTCTAGTGACTTTCGCTCCTCGGCAAACTCCTTCTGTTGCGCTCGCATATTCTCCATGATGTTGTTTGTAGTAGACATGGCCTCTTCGAATCGACGTTGTTGATCAGCGTCCTCATCCCTCCGTGACTGGGCTTCATTTTCAAGCTTTGCACGAGCTTCCTTTTCGGCTGCGAGTTCTTGTTCAAGGCGTAGGATGCGACGCTTATCCTCTTGTCCTGTGTTTGTCGAAAGCCGCCTGGAGGAGATGGAAGAACGTCTGGAGTTTTCTTCCATAGGTCTTGGCGATGCCACACGCGCTGTTGGTGTTGAAGGTTCTGCTGCATCAGGGATACTGAATGATGGAGGTGCACCACCTATAGAGAGCCTGCTGACAGTATTTTGGCGATGTACAAGGTCTTCCAGTCGGCGGACACGGCTCTTGTAGCCTTTCAGCTCCTCCTCAAGCTTTGCATTGCCTTCCTTCAACACGCGCAACTCATCATCGCCTCTCATCATAAGATGTGAACCTCTGCCAAAAGCCGGCTCATGCACACTACCCATTTTGAAATTCTTTGCACGCTTTATTTGTTGCTTTGTAGGGCGGTCCAAATCTTTAATAGCTTGCGCAAATGCCTCGGCTTCAGAGTGTTGGCCATCGAGTCTTTGAAGGTCTTTGAGGTAGTCTCGGAGCTCTTCGCGGGTGACTGTAGGCCAAACCGTCTTCTCAGGCTGTACGTTCATTTCAAAGCCTAATGTGCCTCCTTGCACGGCTTCCAGGTTAACAACATCAGCAATCGGCTTTAGCCATCTCTTACGCCGCCGCTCTTCTTCTTCCTGGAAGGTTGCCATTTCTTCAGCGAGTGACGATGTATCTCTTTCCATCCTCTCCATCCATTCTCGCCTCCGGACAGCTTCAACGAGTAGCGTGCCGTATACGTATGGTAGGCGACCGACTAGAGAGATGAGCTCAAAGGCTGCAACCCCCTCCTGCGGTATGCTGATTTGCTCGAGATCTGCGCTCATACTTGCTATAAAGGATTCAATATTGGCGATGCCCTGCATGCTTTCGACCGAGTTTCTGATGGCTGCATTCTTTTGCTCCACAGCCCGTCGCACGAGATCGCTCATTTCTACACTGTATTCCTGTATGGCAGGTAGGAAATTTCGGGTATGCAACAAAGCCATCTTGGAGACTTGCGCAACTGATTTGGAGCTTGCCTCGAGCCCCATTACATGCTCAAGGTCTGATTCGACCTTTTTTGCTACTGCGTCGATTTCGTTGTACAGGCGGACGGGCTCTTCGGTATCGTCAACCACGGATCGGCTCTGGCTCTGGCCAACAGCTCTCAACAAGTCGTTGTAGTCTGCTGCAATCTTCTCTAGCTGCATGTTCATCTTGTCCATACGCTTCCCAAAAGCCTCGCGTACGCGCTGGCTAGTTGCCGTGGCTATCTTGACCGCCTCGACATCGAGAAAGTCCTGGAGCGTCTCACGAACAATCACATTGCTGGGTACATTCTTTGCAGATCGCATCTCCTTGGCCAAAAATCGCTTGAAGTTCAGGATAGCGGAAACTGTTCCTAGCTGTGCAAAATCCCTGTCCAGCCTCTGGAGGTTGTCTCCCGCTTCCTTCTCTACCCCATCATACCACTCCTTGGCTGCTTTATACTTTTGCTCCAACCCCTTGATATGCGCATCGTGGTTTCCAACCGCGACTTGTGTAGCCCTTTCGATGGTCGCTTGCTCGGCAAAGTGCTTGGAGGCTATGCGTGACATGGAATGTGACTTCTCGAGTAGCGCAAACGCCCAGTTGCGGCGGGCTTGGAAGAGTGCTTGCCATGCTCCAAGGTCCGTGTTGCTGGCGAGATGATTCGGCGCATCGTCGGGAGTGAAGTGGTCGGGTAGAAGCGTTGAGGATATGGCAGCCTGCGGGTTGTTCGAGATCTCGCGACTAAATACAAATATCTCCTTCTACAAACACTCGTGTTAGCATGCGGTGGACAGAATGCAGTGTGCAGAACGGATGACTTGCCTCTGTCAATAGCGCTTGTAGCTTGACATGTTTGCCTTGGGTTGTGAGCAAGACCTGCTGCTCGGGCGGAATCTCTGTAGTCCTTGAGACCCAGTACTTGAGCGCATCGACCGAAGTAAAGGCAACCGGATCAGCGTCAAGACGCTGGCCCGTATGAGCTACAGCAATTTGTAGCGACATCCAGCTCTGCCCTTTTTGCGTGTTGGAGTCTTGTCAGGGCAGCAGCAGGGGCGAGATGGGGAGTAGAGTGTTGAAGCGTGAGCACATGGGACCAAATACCGCCAAGCATGGTTCACGCAGGGATCTGCGCATGGGCCCCACGACACTGCATCATGGTGAAGGTCAGGCTCGGTCAGATGAACCAGGCCTCGACTGCAATCTTGGAAACACACGGAAACAATATCGAACAGCATGGCAACACGGGGCGATGTCGACATGGTCGACGTGGGTGCAAAGACACAGGATGCGCACGACGACGCGGATTTACTACAAACAACGCACAGCGACGCGTTCGCGTTGTCTGATACTGAGATGTTAGCCCTGCAGCTCTACGACCAGCTCAAGGAATTGGAGCTGCAGCAGAGCCTCCTACAAGCGCAACAAGCAGGCACGTTGAACATGTCAAATCGGGTTAAGCAGAGCGGGGATTAATGCAAAGTGTAGCACAAGCGCATGACTTCTCGGCGCTCCCAGATGACTTGGTGGAGGAGCGCCTGACCATAGCGCAGCGCGAAGCTATGGAAGCGAAGGCAGAGTACGAGATCAGGAACAGGATCACGCACAATGTACTGGTCATGGATCCGGTGCTCAAAGCTGTTCATGGGGGCGAGCGGACTCGATTCGCCGAAAAGTTGGTCTCACGTTGGCTGTCATAGTGCGTGGTTGTCTAATGGCCTACAGGCGCCTGCTCCCACTCGTGACCGAGAACGACACAATCGCCATGACCCATGGTGCTCAAACCGCCAAACTTGCTTCTACTACACGTGCTCTGAGTGCAGCAGAACAAGGAAACATGGTTGCGAACCAGAAGAATCGGGAGCTGGCACAGACGATGCTTGCTTTAGCCGAAGAAATGAAGGCGCAATCAGTGCAGGATATTGAAGACACGCAGCTGCGCAGCCAGGTGGATGCTGTCGAGAAGCAGCTCGCAGAGTCCAGACGAAGGGTGAAGACGCTCAAGGGGGTATTGTCAGGCATGATTGTGGGGAGTGGGATCAACTGGGCTGCAGACGAGGGCTTGACGGAGCTGGTGATGGATGACGAGGAGGACGGGTGAGCTTGTGGTGATATGGCAGGATAGATAGAGGATGCATGGTGCAGCCGCGGGGGTCAAGGGCAGGCTGAAGTGGGATTGTCGGGTTGGAATGGAGCTGGGCTGCCTCAGCGGATGCGTGTAGCCAACGTTTGCAGTCTTCTTGTCGAGACGTGTATGTGCGCTGGGTGGTGTTTGTTGACTGAGGACGTCATGGGCGGTTGCTGGAGCAATGGGGCAGCAATGGAATGGAGCAGTGGCGGGCTCGCCCCAACCTCTGGCCGACTACGGTCGGGGAAGCGACGGGGGCGCGGTGCCGAACCTCTGACGGGCCGGTCTAGGCGTTGGCGTGCCTGCATGCATGCATACCTCGCCTCGCATGCCGGTCTGCGTGCCTGCCCACCCAAGAGCTTCTTTGGGGGGGGGAGTGGCTCGCAGGGCCGCCTGGGCAACAAGAGACGGCGCTTTGTGCTTGGGGGAGCAGAGCCAAAGGGGGGAGGACACTTGGCATAAGAGGCGCGGGGCAGTGTAGTGTGGTCATGTTGATGGGGCAGGAAAAGAGGCAGAGAGGTGTGGCGGCCAAAAGTGGGCGCATACACTGGGCCATAGATAATACGTCGGTACGTACGGAGGACAGGGCATTCATTACAAGGCAGGCAGATAGATGGGCATAGTCAGGTCAGACAGTAGGCTGGGTAGCCGTCACCAAGGCTATGGGCACGACAAGCTGCGGGGTCGGGCACATGAGGCAGGCTGGCCAGTCAGCTCGGATGGTTCATGGAGCTCGTGTAATAGCGAGGGTTTGGTGAGGCCATGGAGCCGGGCTGGGTGGCCTCTGGTGGTCGGGGAAGAAGAGCAGGCCGCCGCGCTATTCGAGATAACGTCAACCAGGGCCGCCTCGCATGTGCCCAACGAATGGTAGACCATGCTCTTCTGCGTGCAATCTAACCAAACTTGAAACTCGCCAGGAGAGAGCAGACGAAGGGGGCGCCCAAGCATGATGCGCGTCCGTGTTGGCCGCGCGCGCTGCGAGGGTGGGTGCAGGCGTGTTTTGGGCGCGGGCGCGGGCCTGGCACACTGGGGGAGACGTGAGGGAGATGGATGGATGGATCAAGGCATTGCTCGTGTCGCCGTCACTGTCGCCATTGCAATCATCGTCGCCTTCGCTTCTATAGATGCTGCAGTCGCTCTCGCCCCCCAACAGGCGGAAAAACGACAGTGCAGCGTGTGCCGTGCGGGCGAGAGTTGGTGCGGTGAGGCAGCGCAGCTCCCGGTGGACAAAGGAGGGGTGGTGGTCCGGGTGCGCTGCTATGCCATGGCTGCAAAACAAGCGTGCTTACCTAATGCCCTCGCCCTGCCAGGCCGCGCTGTGAGGGTCCTTTGCGGCCCTCGCTGTTTTCGCTGCGTGCTCACCAAAACCTCGCAGTGTAGACCGCCCATACAACTCTGGCCTGCAAAACCTTTGGTGAGTCGTCCCCGCCTGCAAATGCCAAAGTCGCTTCATCACCAGCACCCCTTTTCGCAACAACACCCTTTTTGCACGCGTTTTCCCGCCCTATTTCGCCCTTCTACTGCTCTCCCAGCCCTCTTTCTGCATTTCTGGCGACACCTTCGCATTCCATTTCTTTCGTCGTCGCCATCACCGCGCCCACTATCCACGCCCATCCCATACTGACCGCAAAACAGACCTTTATCAACCCCTTCGATTTTGCTGAATCCGGCAACTTTGGTGAGTACTTGCTCCTTCTATCATCGTAAAATCGCGCATCTTCGCGTCGTGTTGTGGTGTTTTGCGACCGCGTCACTCCACGCGCATACCAGCCCTGCAACCACCATTGCCATTGCCTACACCTTTACCACCATCTCTCGCCTTTGCCAGGCAACACCGCTACCCCCCCGCCTTCACCCGCAGTACCGGCGTCTGCATTGCTCACCTCGTCTCCCTTGTTTTGCTTTTTGTCCAAAATCCCTCTTTCTTCTCAACCACCACCCAGCTAACCCCCAGCAATAGCACATCAACCAACACCATGCCCAAGGAGAAGACCACTCGCAAGGCTGCGCCTAAGACCAAGGCCGAGAAGAAGAAGAAGGGTGAGTTTTGCTCACGTGCTCCCACTCTCCTCCTACCCTGCTAACTAGTTGCAGACCCCAACGCGCCCAAGCGTGGTCTTTCCGCCTACATGTTCTTCGCCAACGAGCAGCGTGAGAAGGTCCGCGAGGACAACCCAGGCATCAAGTTCGGTAAGTTGATGCTTGTTAACCCCTCGTCCGCTCTGTTTTCTAACATTTTGCCCAGGCGAGGTCGGCAAGCTTCTCGGTGAGAAGTGGAAGGCACTCAACGAAAAGCAGCGCCAGCCCTACGAGGCCAAGGCTGCTCTAGACAAGAAGCGCTACGAGCAGGAGAAGGCTGCTTACACAGTATGTTTTTCCCCATCCCCTGCAACCCAAAATCATGTGCTAACAAATCTAGGCTGCCGATGAGGAAGAGGAAGAGTCCGAGTAAAGCTTATCATCGGAGGTCCTGGGCTCGGGCTTTGCGGCCCGCCTCTCTCTCTCTCTCTCTTCGATTTCTTTTATGTGATCCTTCCTAGGCTTTAATGGGTTCGTGAGTTCTGTCTCGGACGTGGGTGTGCGTGTGTATCTCAGTGTCTTCGGCTAGCCAAATCTGTGTGGTTCTATTTGCGATAAAGGGACCGGTCACAGTCAGTCTCATTTCCAGCGCTTGTGACTTGTTCGGTCATGATGTTTGGGGGGGGCGTCTTCTTCCTCCCCATCTTCAACCCTTCTTTTTTTCTTCGACCTCGTAAAAGGGGAAAGAAAAGGGGCAAAAAGCATCACGAAGCTCATGACCAAGTCTATGTGTACACTAGTCTAAACTTTGCAGTATGGAGATTTATTTTGCTTGCTGCTTCTATAACTGTCGTTCTTCTACCGTCTCACGTGATTTCTTGTGATGTATGTAACCTGCAGTGAACAATGCCCGGGTCTCCCAGATCAAATCCACAGAACCCTCCCTTTTCCCAAGCAAAACCAGTCACAGTGAACTATACATGTCGCCTTTACCACATGATACCTCGCAACCAGGGTAATTCGCATTCCCACTCTTCGTTCCCCCCCCCCCTTCTTCCCCTCCATTCCCTTTCCCAACCAACCACCCAAATATCCCCCTCCCCTACCAAACCCTTTAAAATCACACACCCATATATTTCCTCCTATCCCGCCGTCACCCCATCGAATTCAAGATCAAAACAGTCTAGATAGCGTCGTTGGGCTAGTGGCTATGCTATCGCCTTCCCAAAGCTCCATTGCATGTGGGAATGTTATAAGGCGGGGATCACGGGTGTAAGTATTTTCCAGAGGCAAGAGTTCGAACTGGTGGACTGACATGTGGTGTAGTCGAACCCCGTACGGCGCATGATTGTTTCTTTTTTTGGTTTTTGATTTGGAAGGGAAGAAGGGGGAAAGGGGGGGGGGGGGGGTGGATGGCACGGAGGAGAAGTAAGATAGATCGGGGATTTTTTTATCACTTTTTTACATTCTCTTGTCAAATGCATGCGCAATCGTGTGACTATCACAGCGGTAAGTATTGTGTTTTAGATTCAACTACACGATTTCGGTGCATGATGTGGATATCTGGATTATTCATTTCAAAGCATAGAACTGCAAAGATATGCAGTAAAAGTTCAAGTCATAGCAAACATCTTCACCACCGGATACGATAAGCACGAATATGATATAACCCAAATTCTATAACGAACCTCGATACACACTATTTTTCTTTCCCAATCATACACACGCTACTCCCTCTGCAACACCACCATAACACCCATGATTCCCAGCATGACTTGCTTAAGCCATGGGTGCTCGCTCAGCAGAATGGTAACGTATCCCACAAACGGTATGAAGCCAACGACACTTCCAATCACATCCTCCTTGCGGTTAAGGAAAGACTGTCCGCGAGCATACAGCTCCGTATCGTCTGCAAGGTTATTGTCACCTTTTGTGAGGAGTCGGAGAGGAGTTTTACTGCATCAACATCATTAGTACGGATTCTTCTTTGAAACGAAAAAAAAACATCCCACATCCCCAAGCCAATGCTACAAAACTCATAAGACAAAAGAAGTATCACTCACCCTCCACCATATCTCCTAACCACCCTATGCACAATCGGGATATCCTTGCCCTTGACATTGTACACGACAATCTCCCCAATCTGGGTATCTAAGCCTCTATTCCATAGGAACAGCAGGTCGCCTCGCTGGAATGCGGGCTCCATGGATCCAGACAGTACAACGACAATCGGTGATGGAGAGTCGGCGACGACAGAGAGGCCTTTCCACATCATGAACGCGGTAGAGAGCACGAGCGCAAAGTTGAGCACCTGTGCGGCGAGTTGCCGCGGTTGCATGCCTGCGACACCGAACATAGTTGCGGGTTTGCGTGTATGTAGTAGAGCGAACGTTGTAAGATCCGCGGTGGATGTCGTGAGGTTGGCTCGTCCCTTTTGCCGAATTCCCTATTATGGAGGATTGATGTGTCCTTTTTCGGTTGTATGCGTGCGTGTGTGTATTATGGACAGTGGGCGAACGGCGCAGCGGGATTTGGCGCGTCGTTCGTTGGGAGGTTATGGTCGCGGAAGCGTAAATGCCAGATGTCCTTGGATTGGTTGTTGCGGGCAGCTTAGTCAACTCCCGAGCTGTGGGCGACCAACTCCGCAGGCGCTATACGAGTTGCCGTTGCCAAGACAATGGGTGTTCAAAGTATATGCGAGGGTTGGAAGGCTACATGGTGGTTAGCGAGAAAATTGATTCATATTTGGTGAGCTGAATACTTACTGTGAGAATTGTTGGTGAAAGAGTGGATAAGTGGGTGATATAGCACAGGTCGTTGCAACAAGCTCTACAGTCCGCTGCTTGTCCATTTCCTTGCACATGGCACCCTTGTAGTCGAAGGGACTAACGCTTAAACTTACTAGTACCAGAAATACGCCAACTAAGTATCCGGCCCTTATACTAGTCAAAGAATGGTCCAAGGAAATACGATTTCGAGATTCTGGGAATCAGATGAGCGAGGCAGTGTCAGAGAAGATCAAGTAAGAGATGCATCGTGTAGCGACTATCGTAGCATAGGTTCGAAGAATCCTCCCTCTGATGGCGCGCTGCGCAACACTAGCTAGTGTCGTAAACTGATGAATCTGATAAGTATCGAGATTGATGGAAGTCGAGTTTAGCCGGCAGTTCAAGGAGTGCACTAAAAGTGAACACTGCAAAGCCCGGGTCTGGGTAAAGGTACCTTCAAGGAGCGACGAATGCAGGTAATAGACAGCAAGGTTATTCAGAAGTCCCCCACCTATATAAGTGCATCTCACATCAAACTTTCTCTGCCACCCGACTGCACCTGGGCTTGGATAACGATAATCTCAGTACATGCCAAGCAATTGAACTACGACAAGACCATACACCAGAAAACTATGGAGCAGTTAGATCCTGGAAGCCTGGTTCAATATCAGGGCTCAATGTCTTCTTCATCATCATGGCCAGCAGTAGTTTGTACAGATGACATGGCACCTAAGGATCTACTGCGAAGCCGCCCATGCGGTGTTTCGACAGTTCTTATATTGATTCTAGGCAGCCTAATATTGTGAGTATCTCTCGATAAACCCACAAACATGCTAACCTAAACAGTCGCTGGGCAACTCTAAGAGATTTGAGCGAATACGATCCGTTCGTGCCAATTCTACAGGGAGAAATAGTGGCAAGAGTACCAGGGCTGGGAGATGCATATGGGATGGCCAACAACCATCTCGACTCTTCCCTGGACTTGGAGTACTGGCGGGAGAGAATGAGGGGTACTATAACCATTGATTCTGATCTCGAATCAGGCTCTGGAGACTCCATGGACACTGAATTCCAGCAAGCCTTGCGCGAAAGCCGAGACGATTACTTGTGCAATAATCCTGCAAGTAGAAGCTTGCTGACACCCTCTCAATCGCCCCTAAAAATACTACCAAGTCCACAAGTTAGTCGTACTGTTGCAACCCAGAAACCTACTAGACTCTTTGGAGTCTCCCTAACCAACAGCACTATAATAGACCTTACAGACGAGGAAGACCTTACGGACGAGCCTAACCCAAAAGGAAAAGAGCCAGCCACGAAACCTCTCTTCCAGCAATCCTCCATCCTAGATAGCACCAGCCTCTCTAACATTCTAAAAAAAAAACCAGCGACACCGTAGACGGCGAACTGTAAGTCCCCCCCTCCCCCCAAATCTTCAACCATAACCCCCCCCCCCCCTTTACATAGAACTCAAAGCAAACAATTCATCCACATCCCCGTCGGCGCCCCACCCCATCTCCGCGTCCTCCCCCAGCAATCCCTCTGGAACAGACCCTACTTCCGCGACCCCCGCCGCGGCCTCAACCACTTCGACTACATCGACAACACATGGGTCCTGCGCCACCCGGCCCTGCACCACATCAACCCATCCGACTTCGACTTCGCAGCCGAGTACCTCGAGAGCGACGGCTTTGGGATCCGACTACCACTCGACCCCGATAGTAGTAGTAGCGAGGATTATAGCACAGTGCTGGAACAGTGCCACGCAGCGTGGAACGTTGCTGATAGCCTCGATATGCACGATCTTATGGAGCATGTGGTGGATAAGCTGGAGGCTATAAAGCCGGGTAGGGATGAGATGATGGTGTTTGCGTGTCGGATTTTCGGGAAGAGGGGCGGTGTGGATTTGCCCGGGCATTATCGGCTCAAGGAGTATCTAGCCAAGTTTATTGCGGAGAATTGGTGGGAGTATATTCGGGAGTTGGGGGAGTGGTTTGTGAAGAGGTTGGAGCGGTTGCCTGAGTTGGAGAGGGATGTGTGTAAGAAGCGGTTGGAGGTGTTGAATGAGCGGTTGGATAAGGAGGATGGGGAAGAAGAGGAAGAGGAGGAGGAGGAGGAGGAGGAGGAGAAGGAGGAGCAATGCGAGGAAGATATGGAGATTGATTGAGCAAGTCTTTTATGAAGGGATCATTACCAACGCGTAGATAATGGCGTAAGAAAAGTGTGATGGCCTTGTGCATCCATAGCGCTCATGTTACTATTCAAAACTTGGTTCTGTATCCTGCAACAAAAACCAATTCGAACCAGAAAAGACATAGCCTGAAACATCAATCAGTCCAAATCCATATTCCACAACACTCCATAAGAGCCTGAAACTACGATTAAGACTCATGGCAGGTTAGTCCGAATCGCTTTCGAATTCAGGTACATTCGGGTCTGGCGGAAGCACACACTGTTAGTCAGGGATCGTCTATATGCCACTAAGTTTATAGCACCCACATACCTCTTAGTGCCATGTACTCAAAAGTACCACCAGCCTTCTCCATCAAGTTATCTTTTACTAGAGCCAATTGCTCGTCTGGAAGTAGGGTATCCGTATCTGCCATGTCGACTGACAGGCGGATGCCTTGGTTCCCCGGGCCCAATCTGTCTATGAAATCTAACAAGCCATCCATGGTAAACTTTGAGATACCAGAGATGGTGACGGTGCGGAGATTGGGCAGGCTGGCTAGATGTGGAAGTACATCGTCGTTAAGCTCCAGCCCGCTGACGTACAAGTCTTCGAGCAGGACGAGATCGGCGACAATAGTTTTGAGATGATCGTCGCGCAATACCTCAGGAAGGATGAGGTGCAAATCGCGTAATTGGCGGAGCTGCCTCAAAGATTCAACGAGAATATCAAGATCGTCGCGAAACATGCCTTCTGTGTCGCCACTTAGGAACAATACTCGTAGAGAGGATTGTTGATGCACGAGGGCCTGGTGGAACGACTTGTGGTCTTTGAGCGTGTAGGAATCTATCTCCAGACTGCTGAGTTGAATCTTTTCCTCTAGCAGTACTGGTGTGATAATGGCGGCCCCGGACTGAAGTTTGGAGAAGCTGAGACGCTGGAGGTTTGAACACTTTTGCAGCCATGATATGGTTTCGAGAAAGACATCGTTTTCGGTTGCCTCGAGGTCAACGGTGCCGTGGATATCTTCGATACGCAGTGTCTTCAAAGCCGTACATCCTTTTAGGAGAGCCAGGTGCGGTATTGAGTCTTTGGTCACACATAGGCGAAGATCTTCAAGCGATTTTCCATGGTTGCTCAGTGCGAGGAAGGTCTCGGCGCCTGCTTCAACATCGCTGATGGTCTGTAGCGTTTGCAGCGTATTAGGTCGCATAGAGGAAAGGAACTTGGCAAACTTTTGGTCATTGTTAGTAGAGCGCCATGTGTAGATCATCAGAGAATTGAAGTGTGGGCAATGCTCGTAGATGGATGCGTGGACTAGCTCGTCTTCTAGTGGTTTGCCATCCCATAATTCGAGGCTTTGTAGCCGCGGGAGACGCGGTGTCCATCGGACAAGAGCACCAGGTTGGACTCCAAGGTGTTAGTTGTTTCTTCAATTCACTTGAAAGAGCTTGTACGTACGTTCCCCACTAATCACCTCGAGAGTAGGCGTGTGTTGTGTCACCACTGCAGAATGTCAGAATTTCGAACACAGTACGAGATGCAGGTCGCAAGCACACCTTCACCAATGGCATCGATGACGTCCGCTGTCTTGATTCGCGTAAACTTCCTGCCTTTGATGTTCGTCAGGGTCTCTGTCTTCTCAAATTGCTTCAGTGGACCAGCGAAGAATTGTCTATGGGTGTTAGTGTCTTGGTTCAGATGGCCTGGATGAGACTCGACCGACTTTGAGATCTTGGCCCGGAATTGGTCGTCTTCGAGAAGGTAACCGAGATCGCGGAAGTCAAGCGATCTGATATAACGACAATACGGGAAAAGAGTGGCGCCAAGGCTCGAGGCAACAATGGACCGCCATAAGATGGACCATTTCTGGATAGTGAGCAGATTAGTGGCGGCCGGTAAACCGTAGAGATCTTCCCCGCCACCCCGAACCGGTGCAAGATGGTGAGATCTTTTGTTCGTATCAGCAAAGATGATAATGAACTGAGCCGGACTGGTGTCAAGTACTTGTACAGTTGAGTTAACGCAGGGACGGCAAGGGCGCGGCTCGCACAAGCGCAGTTGAAGAGGGTATCAAATTGCTCCTGGCTGGCGAGTTCCTCGCATAAGAGATGTAAGATATCGTCTGGGAGCACCGCTTGAGCCATGACGTCTTGGATGGGCTATTCATGAAGTTATGTTGTTTACCATACCCCGAGTAGCAGGCGCGATGATGTCAATACGCTAGCGCGTCAAAAACGCGGTCTTTCCGCTTTCGGCTGCCTCACAAGCGCTGCTGTATGACATGCACTGCCCTCGCCACTATGCGAATAGTCATACGACATGGTCGTTCTCAACTTCACCCTCACCCCCGAGGCGGCTTCTAAGGTCCATGATCTTCTTGTCTGTCTAGGCAAATTCAGCGACACCGTAGCCATCGAAGCGCGTCGAGAAAAGGTGGGTTTGCCCTTCTTCCTCAAAGTCAGCCCGTCGTCTCATACGTTTCATATCAGTTCACATTCACTGCACTCAACTCTTCCAAATCCGCATATGCCGCCGTTACTTTAGATGGCAGGCAATTCTTCGCCAGCTATGAGTGTGTCCCAAGCCATGGTGGACCTGAGGGTCGTTTCACGTGCAGCATGTACACCAAGGCCCTCTTGTCAGTCTTCAAAGGGCGCCTGTCCGATCCAGCAGGACGGGATGGTGCGATAGACCGCTGTGAAGTGAGCGTGCAAGAACGAGAAAACGAGACACAATGTCGGTTCATTGTTAAGATGGTTTGCAACCCGGGTGTTATCAAAACGTACAAGCTCACCTACGAAGCTGTGGATGTGATGCATGCGTTGTTTGATCGCTCTGTAGCAAAAAATCGGTGGACCATGCATGCTGGCGCTGTGAGAGAGTACATTGAGTATTTTGGTACCAAAACAGAAATGCTCGACATATTTGCAGGAGATGACGGTCGCTGCGTATTCAAGAGTTATACCGAAAAGATCTCCAACGGAAAGGAGATCTTGAAGCACCCACTTGTTACAGCCGTGGCCGTCAACACATCGGATTTCGAAGAGTTCGTCGTACAAGCCGGCATGCACATCATCATCAACGTCAAAGACTTCAAAGCCATTGTCATGCACGCAGACACTCTGAAGACGAACCTGAAAGCCTTCTATTCTCAGCCAACCCGACCGCTACAGTTCAGCTATGGATGCGATGGTCTGTTTTGCGAATTCACGTTGATGACTTCGGGCAACTACACAGCTGCTCCGCCCGCACCTCAGACAGCACACAGCAGGAACACACCTCGTACGCCGTCAACAACGACAATGGAGCGTGAAGGTAGTCGCAGTTTTCAGTCTGATATGCCTCCACCAGTACAGCCGGCATCTCGGCGCGAGGGTTCAAGCCGCCTAGGATCTCGCCAGACCTCAGTACAAGCGCCGTCGCCACATCGTGATCCCGAAAGTCTTTTCGTACCTGAAGATGAGGATGCGGCATGGGCGCCCATGGATTATGAGAAAGAAGAGACCCTTGGTTGGGATGCCAGTGCAACCCACGATGCATCAGCTTTCCCAACCTTTACAGATAGCGGCAGTACTTCAAGGGCAAATACGTCCGAAAACAATGAAGTGTTCGAGCCCACTCAGCGCGTATCACAGGTTAAGGGATTGTGGTAGCCAAGTGGCATTGATGGAAACATCGCACAGTGTAAGGAAAATTACTCGAAAATCTCAGCAGACGCCAGATAGATGGACTTCAGATAGCATTCTATACATTTTTAGACACTACGACATAACGGCACAATACGATATGTGTGTAAAGTAATACATAAGTTTCCAACACCTCTTTTTTTTATTTTGTCACTAGAAGATGGGTACAATGTTACCAAAAGTACTGGACAACTGCCAGTTTATATAAGAAGCCGAATATTTATGATTTGCGCCTATATCGTTTTTGTAGTGTCCATGTGTGCCGGCAACATGAAGATACGACGGAATGACGTGGGTCTCGCGTACCTACCTATTTACCGGCGGATGGTGGGGCTCAAAGAGAAAACGGTAGACTCCCACCACTCGAAGCCCGCAGTCTGGGAACGAAGCAAATTCTCCATATATTCAAATTTCAATTCTTCCGAATGCCGCCAAAACGTATCCTGGTAATTGCTGGCTCAGATAGTTCGGGTGGGGCGTACGTACGCATACATGCATCCGCCCCTCCTTCAATCAGCCAGTTAAACTAACTATCCACCCATACCAACAGCGGACTAGAGGCTGATCAGAAGGTTATTGCAGCACATGGCTGCTATGCTATGACTGCTACTACCGCGTTGACAGCACAAAATACGCTAGGTGTGCAGGACATACATCATACACCCCCGGACTTTGTGAAGAAGCAGATTGATGCTGTTTGTGATGATATCGGAGTCGATGTTGTCAAGACTGGTAGGTCTACAAATAGATGATAGCAAAATGTGTTGGTTTCAAGACGATAAAGCTCACGTCTTACAGGCATGCTTGCATCAGCAGAGACGATCAAGATTGTCGCTGATGCGTTGAAGAGACATAGTATTAGCACGAGTGTTGTTGACCCTGTACGTCCTGGTTACCCTATTCATCTGGATTATTAGACATGACCAATCATCTAAATCACATTTTAGGTAACGGTATCGACATCAGGTTCACAACTCCTTCCCGAAGCTGCAGTTACGACACTAATCGAACATGTTTTCCCTCACACAACGCTTCTAACACCAAACCTCCCGGAGGCAAAACTTCTTTTGAAAACTGCAGGCGTTGAAGTGCCGGACCCGCAGAACGTTGATGACATTGTCGCGATGGCACGTCATATCCACGAGAGAGGACCCAAATGGGTGCTACTTAAGGGAGGCCACCTACCATTAACACGCGGTCACTTCGTCAGTAAAGAGGAAGCGGACCGGGAGGTAGTGCTAAATGTGCTGGTTGGAGATAGTGGAGTCACCTTGATAGAGAGTGATTACTTGCAATCGAAGAACACCC